TCAGTTATGTCCTGGTTTTCTGGTGTTGGAAAGTCTTCTTAGCTTTGAAAACACATCTATGGGTTTGGGAGTTTTAGGATTAGTTTTGCATATGTAAGGGAGTTGTGTGTTTGACTCCTTTAGTTTCAAGTCCATTAGTAGTAGTAGGCACTACATTTGTGTGTCCCATCAATCTCATCTTTTCATAGATCTAAAGTGTATTCCCACTCTGGATCTATCACGTCTTGTGAAGTACATACCTCGTCCTTCCTCTTTGAATCTAAAGTAATGGGATATTCTTCACTCCCTGGAAAACCATGGCTGCTTCTTCCTTTATATTGGTTCCCCTTCAGTGCATCCAGGTAATGGTTATGCAGAATGCTTAGATCATGGAAAACTGAAGGTTCACTTTACAAGGACTAGATAGTGAATTTCTCTTCTTGCTTACTTGTCTGCCTACCTTCAAGCCTGTCCATTTGTCTTGGATACATTTCCTGAAAGAGGAAAAAACATTCTTCTTTTTTTCTTTGGACCGTCCAAGGCAACCCACACTAGCTTTATGCAGAGAAATGAAGGACCACAAAGGCAGGTGCTAGGGTAAGCCCACTGGGCAGCTCTGCTGCTCTCCTCTGTTTTCATATTGCCTATGAACATCTCCTGGGGTGTGAATATACCACTTTGCAAACCATTATATTACAGACTAGAGATCATACTTTTCCATCAGGCAAGATGATGAATCTATAATCCAGATCTGAATCATCAAACATCAATAAGCTCCTTAAAGGGAGGGATTGCTCATTTTTGGCTTTTTATCCCCAGAATCCAACAGTTATGCATTGAACATTTAACCAAAAACACCCTACTGATAGGAAATACATATGCATATGTATGCATGTATCTATATATGTATGTATATGTGTGCGTGTGTGTACATATATGTGTATATGCATGTGTGTATATATAGATGTATGCATATATATATACATACATACATGCATGTAAACTAATTCAAGTTTTAAGTACATCATTAACTAGAAAGACATAGTAAGTGGAGAATAGTCTTCAAAGCCAGGAACATCTCATTTCAACCCCTGGCCCTGACAGGTGCTGGCTCCGTATAATCTTAGTCAAGTCATTTAACTTCTCAGATATATGGGCAGCTTTCTAAGATTAAGTTGTAGCAAGTTGTTTTGTTAGAGGGAGTTTCTTCATTTGGGAGTTTCCTGCACCAGTGAAATAACAGGTCTAATCCCTATGGCTTCCTCTGGGTGAAAATAAAGAGGAAAGTGATGGAAAATCTATTGATACTATTACACATACTTCTGTACTTATTGTTTAATTTGGGTTATATGAGAATAAATGTGAGCTCCTTGCAGACAGGGACCACCTTTACCTTAATTTGTATTACTGGCACTTACCATAGTCCCTGGTATATAGTAGGCACTTAATAAATGCTTACTGACTGACTGACTTTGCACATTGCAAACTTGAAAGAACAATGTAAATGTCATTCTTTGTTGCTGTCATCATCATTAACAGAAGCAGCAGCAACAGCAGCATTATGATCATCTTCTCACTTGCAAGGTCACATTCAAAGTTTATTGAGTCTAAGAGTTTTATCTGATTTCTGTCTTTGAACTCTAGTATATAGTACAATTTGCTGCACATAACTAATGTTTAATAAATGACTGTTGAATTGAAATGCAAAATGAAATAAAACTGTAGAAGTGATTTTTCCTAAAATGGAGATCTGACCATGTTAACACTCCTCTTCCCCCAAACAAACTCCAACATCTCTCTATACTTCCAGGATTGATATAAACTCTTTTTAACCCCTAAAGTCCCTTATGATCTGGCACCTTTTTGTCTTTCCAGTCATTTTCTGTTTCACTCTGCTCTCCACGTTCAATGTTCCCCCGACATTCTCATTCATATTCCAGGAATGTTCTTTCTCCTCACCTCTAAATCCAAGATTGTCAGTGTTCCTTTAAGAAACAGGTTAAATCTTTGTTCCATAAATAGCCTTCCTTGCTCCCCTTCCAAACACGTATAATTATTAATGATTATTTCTTTCCTCAATGATTACTTTCTAATAACATTCTATATATCGTGTATAGTCTAGTTCCTCGCGTGTTGTCTCCCCACCCCAAAAGACTGAGCCCCTTGAGAAGAATAGCCAAATTGTTTCCTTTTGTGTCCTTGGAGCTTAGAAATGTGTCTGGCACGCAGGAAGAGCTCAATAAATGTTTGTTGATTGAATCAAATCAATGTAAATCAATTTAATAAATTGGTCCATTTATGATCTAGACCTACAATTCAAATACATGCATCAGCTCCTTGACACCCTCTGTGTGACACCAGGTAAACCAGATAACCTCCCCATTGCTCTGTTTCATTATCTGTAAAATTGAGATAAGGAGCCTTGCAATACCTACTACATGGGGTTGTTCAAAAGAGATAATGGGCTTTCTAGCTATACAATGGTATATAAGCATGCATAGTTGTGGTTATTACCTACTTTAAAAACATTTGCATCTATCTCATGGTGTTTTTGCAATGATGGTTTACATTTATAGAATAAAAATATCATAAACAATTTTATCGAAAAACATCACGTGCATGATAACAATTCATGCTCTAGGTGTTAGGAGGGAGATCAAGACAAGTCTGAGAGATAGACCAGAGGGACCAAAACAAATTAATTCTAATTAATCAGAAATGTTTATTAATGGGTACTTCCATTTCCCCAATCACCATCCTAGTATATCATAAAACTTTGAGTGTAATAGAGGAAAAGGAGGAAAAGTATGGGTAATATAAGCTTAAGGACCATCAAATCTACTTCCTTTCACCTAAGAAGAGAAGAAATAAGGTGTATAGTGAGGGGGTAGAGAATCTAAGACAATTTTAGTTGCTTTCTATCAGATAACATAATTGGGGAAAAACATGCATTTTTACAAATCTCTCTCTTATCTTATATCTATGCAATATGTATATATTTATGTATAATATATATTTACAATGCACATCTCCTACTAGACATACATATACATAGATATATATATGCATACATATAGTTATGTATATATAGATACATTTTAGCCATTGTATACGCATATATCTGTATGTATATGCATACATATATGTTAATGTGTATTACATGTATAGTTTCACAAAGCAATGTACATACATTATCTCATTTGAACGTCACAGTAATCCTACAAGGTAAATGCTATTATTTCTCCATTTTACAAATGAGAAATCTGAGGCATATTTTTAAAATAACTTTCTCAGACTTACACAATTTTAAGTCTGGTGTTACTGACTTGAAGTTTATTGGAACACCTAGCAGCTGCAGAGACACAGGCTCTATTGTTATTGTTCAGTCTTTCCAATCATATCTGACTCTTCATGACCCCATTTGGGGTTTTCTTTGCTATTTCCTTCTCCAGCTTTTTATATATAAGGAACTGAGGCAAACACAGTTAAGTGACATGCCCAGTGTCATGTAGGTAGTGTCTGAGGTCAGATTTCAACTCATGAAGATGAATCTTCCTGACTCCAGGCAGGGAACACAATCTACTTCATCATCTGACTTCTCTATTACTTTCCTTTATTGTTGCTTATGTCGAAAGAAATAGGTGGGGACTCAGAGAAGGAAGAAGCAAATGAGTGAATAGGGAAAGGGATTACAAGGATTGAGGCAGCAATTCATATCAACCTCTGAATCCTAGGCATCTTCATCAGCCTCAAGCCACATCAGAATTCAGGATTCCTCAAAAATTACCTCATTCTCCTGGAGATGGAGTAGAATAGTCATTGCTTTCTTAAACCTATGCTGGGAGCCTCTGGGAACCAGCTATGCAAAATATGTGAATACCTGTATACAAAGATATAGCTCATATATATGATATCATATATATGTATACATATGCGTATATACTTATGATTGAACATCCCTGCAGGCTGAGTAAGGACAGATTTGCCACTGAAGTCCATTTTTACATATATACACACATCAGTATATCTGAAAGCTAGCATGCAAAGAAAGTCGGATCACATCCAATATTTACTACAGATAATTACTTAAAATGCAGATGCCAGCATTACCAAACCACCATAGTTGGAGGGGGAAAATTGGAAAAGTATTAAGCAGTAGAAAGAAGTTGACTATTTGGTATGTCAGTGGATTTTAATTGTAATTCAGTTGAAAAAATTGCAGAAACACATGGGAAAAAAAAGAAATCAACAACATTGTTTTTAATCCTGGAGATGAGGCAAGAATTTTGGAAAGCATCACTATTCCCACAAGTTAGAAAAAAGATCCAAAGAACTTGCTTATTGGAAAACTAAATAAAGAAACACACAGCAGCCACTGAGAGAAATGAAAGGAGCTACCCAAATAAAAGGGACAGCCACCCTTACAGAAGCCCTGCTTAATATAGTTCTGGTGAAGACAGCCACGGACTGATATTTTAATGATCTCTCAAAGCCAGAGAATAAGTATGATCTAGGCAGCTAATTTACAATTGCAAAACCATTTGCAGTCAAAGGATAAAAAAGGATAGAGTTGAGAAGATGCAGTTTCTCATTATTAACGCACTTAGACTACCCCTTTCAAAAGGGAGGAATGAGGGAAAGACAAACTGTTTAAAAGCTTGTGCCGTTCTTGCTGCTCAAATAGTGCCTACACAAGGGCACACAGATATCATTATGAGACATTTTGTTCCTTTGGACCACGCACATTAAAGGCAGAACCGACAGCAGGGAGGTGTGCTTAAGGAGGCAGGAAATGTTTCTAAAAGCACTCTGGCTATAAATGAATGTGCACTTAACATGCATGCAAGGTGTTATGCGAAAGGCAATTGAAATTCTGTTGTCTTTCTCCTCCTATTTCTGTGTCTCTCTAAATTGGGGCTCCATTTCTCTGCCTGCAATGAATGGCTTAATTGCTTGGAAAAAGTATACTGTTGTGGAGTTTTACTCATTGTTCTGAGGCAATAATATTTTCTCTCTTGCAGAAGTTCATATCCATTGTCTATAATGCAGTGAACTCAACAGGATCCGAGGGGCCATTCTGATTCTTTAGCTGTGGTTAAACGTGTTTGTATTAAAAACATTGTTTGAATAAACAAGGGGATCAACTAGGACTTCTGAAGCTTCCTGTCGTGGAAATTTTCCCTGCAGTGCTCTTTCTTGATGTAAAATAATCTAATGTAGGCAGGAACAATTTCCCCCAGTTTAAAAATAACAGCCATTATCATCTTGAATATTTGAGACTGTATTGAGTAAATAGATATACTTACAGACATACACATGCATGAATTCACACACAAACATGCATATATGCATATATGTGTATGTATACACACATGTATCTTATGATCTTTGCAACAATCATTCTGCCAAGATCCAGCTATTGCCATTGAAAATTGAACACCTGGGGCAGCTAGGTGGCACAGCGGATAGAGTACTGACCCTGGATTCAGGAGGACCTGAATTCAAATCCAGCCTCAGACACATAACATTTAATAGCTGTGTGACTCTTGGCAAGTCACTTAACCCCATTGCCTAGCCAAAAAAAAAAAAGATAACTGACTACCTGAAATCATTCTTAATGTTTGCATGATGATGATATTGATCATAATAATGATTTTCATTCATACAAATTTCACATGAAAGCATTTTAAAAGTAAACATTACTACAGTTGAGGTTTATAGCAACCCTGTGAGGTAGGTAATAAAAAAATTCTTTTGTCTTAGTAGCTGATGGAGAAACTGAAGTTCAGAAAGCCCAACTGTTTTAACCATTGTTAGGTAACTAGAAAGGTTTTTTTTTTAAGATGGAAATTTTGACATCATTTCTAGAACCATTTTCAATACAACATGCTTTACCTCCTTTGAAGGAATTAGATAACAAGAAAGAGGGTAGGGGGATGCAAAAAACTAAAAGAAAAACAGCATAAGCAAAAAGCCAGATATGGCAAGAATAATGATGAATGAACATAAGAAGATGACAGTGGATTAACCAAATTGGATAGAGGAAGTGTGATATATCAGAAAGAATGCTTGAATTGAGTTTAGAAAATTTACCTTTCAATCTATCCTCAGTTATTTATTGGCTATATGATAGATATGATCCAGTATAATTGTCCTCTGAGTCAGAAAGTGATCAGCTCAAATTCTAACTCTAACATTGGCTGTGAAACATTTGGGAATCCCCTTAATATTATAGTTCCTAGACAACTCTTCAATACAATAAGGAGTGGAAGAACTGCAGATCTGGATGAACAGAAAGAATGCCCTCAACAACATGAATTCTCAATATGTGTGTGTAGGTAGATGATAGATAGATATAGATAGATAGATATTAGCAAGTTATTGGCTATAAATTTGAATGAGTTGGATGTAGAATTGATACAGAATAAGAAATAAGTAGATGGATGAAAAGTTGAGCCCCAATTTTAATAACTTTATCAATCAAATAAAAACATAGATGTACACATATATATTAATGACATCTGCAATATAATAAGTAAAAAAGAAAGTTTCAGTTTAACAAGAAGAAAAAGAAATAGATGGTAATGCAAACTTATGAAACACAATGATCTGCTTCATGAGGTACAGAGCTCCTATTCACGAAGGGTTTTCAAGCAGAGATTGTATGACTTGCTGGGGTATCATTAAGAAATTCTTATCTAGTTCAAGAGTGGACTAGATTAATTCTAAAATATCTTCCAATTCTCAGGTCATATCTTTTTTTTTATGACTAAACTACCTAAGAGATAAGAGGTTTTGAATATTTGCTAATGATTAAAAAAAATTCTTAAATTATTTTGAAATAGAAAAAGTTCCTGGTAAAACACTTCTGAAAAGTAGGGGGTGGGAGTGGGAGGAGACCTCATTTATTGACACACAGAGAAATAAAAAGTCTCCAAAATCTTGAGCCCCTTTCTGACTGACAATAACATTTTCATAGGGGTTCAGAAGTCAGAAGCTCAGAAGTCTTTAAATGAAAGACAGCAATTGTAAGATTTGTATGTGTTTATGTGTTCCTATGGAAAGGAGCTATTATCCTTTATCTCTATCTCTACTAATTCTTTGCTATTCTCTTAGAAAACAGGAGAGCACTCAATCTCACAGAAGCCATAATATATATGAATTATAGCAACTAACCTATAATTATCTGTGAGTGGTGATTTTGTTTTTTACAGACAGATACATTTTGGTACACTGAACCTTTTAAAAAAACAGTTCAATGTTTATGAATATCCTGACATTTTCAGATCTGAAATAAATTAATTTGGGTGAAATAGTTTGAAATTGCTGTCATTGGAGAAGACAATTTCTGAGGTCTCTTTCAGTGCTAACAACTTGAAATCTATCTTTTATTTAAATGTCTGAAATATAGTGAAAAGTGGATAGAAAGTTGAAGACCACACTAATGGACCCTAGGAATGGAGTTTAAATAATTGCTTGTGCCACTTAGGTATTTATTTAATCCTATAGAGAGCAGTCTGTCCATTAACTCTTTCAAATGAGTAACAGTTGGCAAGCACATTAATGTGCATTCCATCTCTTCTGTTGTGGAAGATAACTATGAATCTTCAGTGAAAATGTATATTGATTACAAAGATATTATACATTATAAATTCCTAGTTGTGAAATCCAAGCACACCACAATTTACTATCACTAATTTCCTACTTATGCTCATTTGCCATTTACAACAAAAGTGTAAATAGAATGCTACTTTAGTACCTCACTAATTTCAGGATTTTTTTTAAGACTAGGGTAAATACCCAGCCATCACCCATGACTAATGTGTGTGTGTGTATATATATATATATATATATATATATATATATATATATATATATATATATATATATTCCAATATTTTTTTAAATTTAAAAAAAATCCTCCCAATAAGATATATTTCAGGGAAGGCAATGTGGTTTAGGGGAAAGACCACTGCATTGGAATCATAATACCTCACTTTGAGTTTCATGTGTTGCATTAATATATTTCATGTTCTTGAAGAAATTATTTGACCTTACTGGCTTTTGGCTTACAAATGAGATATTTGGATTTTGTTGAAGGTACTTCCAATTCTAACAATTGGTGAAATTTGAAGAATAGTAAGAGAAAGAGAGAGAGAGAGAGAGAGAGAGAGAGAGAGAGAGATAGAGATGAAGGTAAGAAGGATAAGGGAAGAACTTACTTGCTGGAATAATTTTTCTTTACTCGGAATTAGGTAAAATTAGTCAAAAGAAGTATTCTGATGGAGGAGAGATTTAAAATAGCACAAGTGAAGATCCCAAAGACTATGAAAGTTAAATGCTTGAGGCTAGTAAGTGGATTGTGCCTTGATAAAGAAAGCTTTTTTAGGTATGATGTAATTGGAAAAAAAGTGGGAGTAGTGATTGGTTATATGAGTTAATGTTGACACTGAAGGTTATACATATGATGTTTGCTTTGATTAAAGCAATTAAAAATGTTATAATGAATATAGTCAGTGAAGTAATGAAGCATATAGGGCACCAGCCATGGAGGCAGGAATATCTGGGTTCAAATAAAGCCTCCGATACTAACTAGATTGCCCTGGAAAATCACTTACCATATTCTTGCCTCAGTTTCTTCAAATGTGAAATGTGAATAATAATAGCACCTTCTTCCCATGGTTATTGTTAGAATAAACTAAGATAATATTTATAAAGTGTTTTGTAAGTCTTAAAGCACCGCACTAAAAAGCTGTTAGTAGTAGTAGGAGTAAAAATTAAAACAAGTAGAAAACTGAAAATTCACATCTTGTGGTGCTTTAGTTTGCTTAAAATTCTGTTATCTCATATGTATTACATCATTTGATCTTCACTTTTTCATTTTTAACGTTTCATATATTTTTCACATTTACATTAAGTATATGTATGATAGGAGGTCATAAAAGTAGAGGAAAATAGATTGACAAGCTAAATGCTACACTATCATCCAGGAAATATTGAAAGAGGTTGTTAAATGGAACTTTTGTGGAGGAGGCGTGGAATGGCAATAAAGGCAATCAGAAAGCCAGAGAGGAAGGAAGGAAGGAAGGAAGGGAGGGAGGGAGGAAGGAGGAAGGAAGGAAGGAAGGAAGGAAGGAAGGAAGGAAGGAAGGAAGGAAGGAAGGAAGGAAGGGAGGGAGGGAGGAAGGGAGGGAGGGAGAAAGGAAGGAAGGAAGGAAGGAAGGGAGGGAGGGAGGGAAGGAAGGAAGGAGGGAGGGAGGAGTGAGGGAGGAAAGAATGAATGAAGGAAGGGAGGGAGGAAGGAAGGAAGGAAGGAAGGAAGGAAGGAAGGAAGGAAGGGAGGGAGGGAGGAAAGAATGAATGAAGGAAGGAAGGAAGGGAGGGAGGGAGGGAGGAAAGAATGAATGAAGGAAGGAAGGAAGGGAGGGAGGAAAGAATGAATGAAGGAATGAAGGAAGGAAGGAAGGAAGGAAGGAAGGAAGGAAGGAAGGGAGGGAGGGAGGGAGGAAGGAAGGAAGGGAGGAAGGGAGGAAGGGAGGAAGGAAGGAATACCTTCATACATTCAAATCTGGCCTCAGACACTTATTAGCTGTGTGAGAAGGAAAAAGCAAACCACTCCAGTATCATTGCCAAGAAAACCCCACATGGCATCATGAAGACTCCAACATGAGTGAAAATGACTAAACAACAATAACCATGAATATGTTACGTAGCCTTTTAAAGATTACATTTCCTTATCTGAAAAATGGGGAAAATAAATCTGTATTATCTTCTATACTGAAGTGTGGTGAGAACATAACTGCAATCTTTAAAACACTCTAAAAAATATTTTCAATGAATCAACAAATATTTAGCAGTGACTATGTTCCAGGCACTGTGCTAAGAGCTGGGAACACAAAAAGTAGCAAAAAACAGTCCTTGCCTTCAATAAGCTTACATTCTAATGTGGAAAACAACATACAAACAAATATATACATGGTAACTCTGAGATAATTAACTTAGGGAAGGAACTGGAATTAAGAGGGATTAGTGAAGGCTTCCTATAGAAGGTACAATTTTAGTTGGGACT